TACATTCAATGTTATATTAGTTTCAGGAGTTACTTCATTTCTTTTAAAAAAAGAATCTTTTCTATAATCACTTAAGGCAGTGGTTCTCAACCTTCCTGATGCCGCGACCCTTTAATACAGCTCCTCATGTTGTGGTGACCCCCAACCATAAAATTATTTTCGTTGCTACTTCATAACTGTAATTTTGCTACTGTTATGAATTATAATGTAAATGTCTGATATGCTATATGTGTTTTCCGATGGTTGTGATTCACAGATTGAGAACTGCTGACTTAAGGTTTGATATGGATTTGGGGGAACTGCCATTTCTGGTCACTTTATTATATTTTTTAGCTCCATATTACAGACTGTACCACAGTCATTATCCAAGTGTTTTAATATTGCAGATATCTCTGCCATGTCTCTTCCATCCCTCCATAGCTATTGAATTATAATATGGATTTTAGATTTTAGAATGTCAAAATAACCCTACATTTTTATCACTGATATCAGGTAATTGGGTTTTGGATGTATGTAGAGACTTGTAGGATGCTGATTTCTGCATCTTAGATGCTTACATATAGTGACGTTTAATTCTAGTGCTCAAAAGAGAGAAAAAAATAACAGAAAAAGAAAATAAAACACACAAAAAATAATTCTAGTGCTCAAATATTCTTGTTTCATATGTAATTTGAATTTAACCTGTTTTGTGAGTTAATTATACAATTTATGTGTGGACAAAATGGTTCCGTGTGTGTTTGTCTGCTATATAATGTTGTTCTTTTGGATTATTATATCAATGATATTTTAAAAAATTCAGATAATTCAGATGAGCATTGGAATCTATTTGATTACTAGCTTAGAGTCCCAAATAAGCAAAATATTATCTTCTACAAAAAGGATTCCATGTTTCTCACTAGTAGACCCATATTACAAAAAAAAGTATAATATTGCCTGACTTGGTCAATATTATTTGCCATGATATTTAGTAATGCAGAGCTAAATCAGAGATACAACTCTCTTATAGCTCTCCTGTTTTGTGATGAGAAAATCTTAACTAGAAATATTCCCAAATTGAGGCCTATAAATAATGCAGAGGATGCCGTCTTCTTACTACTGGTTTGCCCTTATGTATAATCTATTTATGTATTTATTTTAAATCTTTATTGTTGAAAGTATTACATATGCCTCCCTTTCCCCCCATTGACCACTTCTAGCCCACTCCTGTCCCCACTCCCACCCCCCCAGACCTTCATCACCCTATTGTCTGTATCCATGGGTTATTTGTATATGCATACAAGTTATTTGGTTGATCTCTTCCCATCCACCCACCCACCCACCTACCCCTGCCTTCTCTCTGAGATTTCTTGTTTTTAATGATCTATGAAAAACCACCCAACTTGTTTGATAATACTAACAGTTATATCGTTTTGTATTTTATGGTAGGTGACCTGTTATCTTCTGTAATGTTATTCAAAGGATTAAACTTGCTCTAGTCCACTGACAGTCAATGTATGTAGCAACTCTTCTCTGCTCATTAATGTCCCCTAACGTGTCTTCAAGGTCATGGAGCAGACTCGGTGCTCTAATAGCAGTTTCCTAAGTAAGCATTTAGGTGGAATTCTGTCTTCCTGCCTTGATACTGATTGTTAGCACCACCTCATATCAGAAGTATTCTTAAAATGAAAGAGGGAAACTCCTTTTCATTGACAGATCAGGAAGTGGTCTTGATTATAAGTGTTTTGGAAAACGGTTTTAGATAACATGCTTTAGTTTCTTTCACTGTGATGGGACATAAATTACTCAATAAGCCTAAAATGTTTTTCTCTCTATATTTGATTCTGGCTTGTGTTAAATGCATTCGATATTATGATATTAAATTTGTCTGTTACTGTGTTTCTTTTCTCTTGCTGTGCTATTTACACTTTTCTTTGTCCTGCTATTTCCTTTTCACTGGCTTTCTATAAGTCAGTTTAGGTGAAAGTTTTCATAGGCAGAGTACAGAGTTAAAACAGTTGTGGAATGACTGTTAATTCATAATTCTAGGACTCCTGGGAGTTACATTTATCAGCTCTCAAGAGATTCTTTAATTATAATGTTAACGTGTTACTTTTGAAAGAAATTGAAATGGACAGGCATGTGGTTGAATTGGGGTTTATCCTTGTATTTTTGTCTAGCGATAGTCTAGCAATGGCGTATCTTGTCTTGATATAGCAGACTAAAATTTCTTTTTTAAAGGTTCGAGGTTCTTTTAGAGACTTGTACTTTGATGAATACGAATAGCATTGGTTTGCGGAGTATTTTGGGGATATTAGTCAAGATTCTAATGTGAACTTGGGCTTACTTGAAGATCTAATATATGAGAAAGTTGGCTTCATTGATTGCTAGAGGAGTTTTACTTAGCTCATATTGTTGTAATGAAGCTAATATATTCCTATATGTATAAATACATGCATATATTTTTCCTGTTAAAATTCCACTCAGAGACATTTTATATTCTACCATACTTTTACATTGTCTGGGGTCTTTTTTTCAGCACTGTTTGACAGTTGTTTTGTACGGTAGAAAATTATTATTATTATTATTATTAATTTTTCAATTATTTCTTAATACCTCCACCTCTTTCATCTGTCCCTCTGGATTAAATACAAATAGGTAGTTACAAAATAGTCATGGGGATGTAAATGACAGCATAGGGAGTATTATAATAACTGTATGATCCCAGGTAGGTACTGGAAATATTGGAGGGGACACTTTTTAAAGTATATGGTTGCCTAACTATTATGCTGTATACCTGAAACTAATACCAAATAATATTGAAAATTCTTATAGTTTATTAGTAAGTCATTGTAGAAAATCTTAAGTATCTGTGACTTGTCCTCCTTTTAGGGATATGCTTAAAAATGTTTAAAACAGTATAGAATCTTACTTGGCTTTTTAAAAAGTATAAAAGTATAGAAGTAAATGGAGGCATTTTGTTCAAGTTGCCACCATTAATCTGGTATCAAGATAAAACTAGTAAATTCAATTTGCTAACTTAATTATGCAAATTAGTGAATAACTTTTCATAGACCAAGTCTGTGGCCAGCCTTGATATATGTAATGTTTTTGTAAATAAAGTTGCTTTTGTTTTGTTTTGTTTTTTAATATAGCTGCAGTCATTGATTTACATGTTTTCTATGGCTACTTTGACACTAGAAAGGCAGAGTTGAGTAGTTACAACAGCTAATTACTGCAGTACATTGTTTTTCTCATTAGGGTGGTGTGCAGCATGTTACCTTGATACATTTACTTTTAATAAAACACACGTATTTTCATTGATTTCAGAGAGGAAGTAGAGAGAAAGAAGAGAGAGAGAAACATCAATGATGAGAGAGAATCATTGATCGTCTGCCTCCTGCACACCCCCTACTAGGGATGAAGCCTGCAACCAGGGCATGTGCATTGACCTGGAATTGAACCATGACCTCCTGGTTCATAGGTCGATGCTCAACCACTGAGCCACACTGGCGGGGCAGATTTGTATATTGTATTATGATTGCCATGGTAGCCATGTTTATCACATTACATAATTATAGTTCACTGTTATTGTCTATATTCATTATACTATGCATTAGACCCCTGGCTTATATACTACTTGTTACAAGTTTTATGCCCTTAAGTACTATCAGTCTTATCTCCTCATCACCCATCCCCTGATAACTACCATTTTACCCTCTGTTTTTTACAGGCTTGATTATTTTTTTGCAGATTTCACATATAAGTGATATAACACAGTACTTACCTTTTCTCTGATTTATCTTGCTGAGCATTCTCTGCTTAAGGTTCATCTATGTCATAAATGGCAGGATGTCCTCTTTCTCAAGGCTGACTAATATTCCATGGTGTATATACTGCATCTTTTTATAAATCCATCCACTGATGGGCATTTGGGTTGTCAGAGTGTTTTGAGGCCTTTTCTCCTGAGCACCCCACCTGGATCCCTAGCTATTAAGTCAGCTTCTACCTAGTTTTCCTTCAGCTATCCTTGTCCCCACTGCAAACCTGCTTCCTTATATTTGACTCCCAGAATCATCTTTCCAACATTGAAATCTTGACTACATTATTTCTTAAAACCCAGGCACCTCCTGCTCTCTCTTGCTGACTCTCATGTTGTTCCTGACATACTGTACTAGTTGCCCATCATTTCCATTTTATGTCTATGCATTTATGTCTAAAATGGAATATGTGATATACCTGATATATCTCTATTGAAATATCCTTCTCTCCTTTCTTTGTAAGTATATCCTATTTCAAAGAGCAATTCCATAATCTATAGCTATTTAGATAATGTTTTTTTGTGCCACTTCTAACCATCCACCTTCACCAACTCCTTTTCATGTCTCACCAGATTTCATATATTTCCTTTCTTTTTGTTACCACTGTGCCTTATACATAAGATAGTTATTTCACTTTTACATATTATATTTTCACAAGTTTCTTATGTGTCTTTTCCTTTTGGTAGGCCGTGAGCCCAAGGATTATTTTTTATTTACCTCTGTGTTCTTAGTATTTATTAGCATGGTACCCAACGAATTTTTGTTGAGTGAATGATTGGGTTAATTTTCTCACTTACATTATAAGATGTGTATTTTTATTTTAACCAGTTTATGCTTTCTAGAAGGCAAATTCATTTAGAGTAATAAACCTGACTCATATATCTTTTCTCTTTTTTCCATATGTCTTTTCTTATAACTCTGTAGGGTGAAACTAGATATGTCCTGTTTATTGACTTGCCACTCTATGCAGCAAGGGATAGAATTTCCTACTCTAAATCTTATCAAATCCCTGATATGGAGTTTTGATCACTATTAATTATGAAACTCATCTGTAAAATAAAATATTTTATTTATAACGTGATCTTAGGTATATTTGGTAATGAGATACGTATTTCTATTCATATTTGGTGATGTGTGTGTGATGGATGCTCTTAATGTAAGTAGTTTCAATCAGGTCTCTGTTTTCCCATATCTCATTTCTAGGTACAAGACATCTGCTTCAGCCATGACTGTCGCTGGGTTGTGGTCAGTACTCTTCGGGGGACGTCCCATGTTTTTCCAATCAACCCTTATGGTGGCCAGCCTTGTGTGAGAACACATATGTCGCCACGAGTCGTGAATCGTATGAGCCGTTTCCAGAAAAGTGCTGGGCTGGAAGAGATTGAACAAGAACTGACATCTAAGCAAGGAGGTCGCTGTAGCCCTGTTCCGGGTCTCTCAAGCAGCCCTTCCGGATCACTCTGCACGGTAAACCTGATTGTAAACCTGATTTTCTATCTCTATCTCTATCTCTATCTCTATCTCTATCTCTATCTCTATCTCTATCTCTATCTCTATCTATCTCCACTGAACCCTTCAGTCCTTCTTCTCTTTATCCTTAATTTTCAAGGTCTGGGACAAAAACAAATCCATTTTTTCTAATATGTTCATGCAAAGACAAGGTCTTAGGCTCATTTTGGGACATTCTTAATTTATTAAATAATTTAATTGAAGCCAATATAGTAATGGCAGTCTTTATCACGTGACTTTACCTCCCTAAATTTTCCAGTATGTAAGGATTTCCTTGTGTTATTTTTATGGAATATGAAGTTTGAGACTATATTCATACATTTAGAGATTGACTCTCATGTCTGTAGATCTTTTCCAGAAAACTTCATTTTTAACCAAAGCCAACACCACTATATATAGTTCATTAACTATATTCATATTCATTGTTGGAGAAGAATGGTCATGAGTCATGTGTATTTTAGAGCAGCATTTGTTTTTTATTTTAAAATACATCTCTGTGGGATTTCTACCAGTATGTTGCAGGAAAGGAAAAAACAACAACAACTGTACAGCTCGATAATTTGTCTTAGAGCAAATAATTATGTTATTATCACCCCAACCAATAAATGAAACATTACTAGAATGCCCCTTTTGTGCTCCTTTTCTATAAAAGTAAACAATGAATCTGACTTAATGGTAATCATTTTCTTACTTTTTAAAAATATTTCTCTGCTAAGGAAGTATCCTTAGATACTGTTGTTCACTTTCATATAAGTGGAATAATAGAATGGTATATTTTGGTATATTCAGCTTTAGCATCATGTTCATGGGATTAATTCATGTTCTTTATAGGTTTACTTGATTACTTGATTTCTTTCTCTCTTTTTAAAATATCTTTTTATTGATTTGAGAGAGAGAGAAAGGGAGAGGGAGTCATAGAAACATCCGTCAGTTGCCTCATGCATGCCTTCTACTGGGGATTAAGCACACAACCCAGACATGTGTACTGACCAGGAATTGAACTACTTACTGTTGATGTATATGTGGAGAGTTTTCGGTGTGGGGTTATTACATATAATGAGGCAGTGAAAATTTTTTTATTTGGTTTCTAGTCCAAATATGTTCTCATTTTTGAGTGGAAATGCTGGGCTATAATGTATGCAAACTTTGACCTTGGTTGTTAATACCAGAGTGGTTATACCCTTTCATTCCCACCAGAATGACTGAAAATATTTTATGACATTAGATGACACTTTTTCTAGAGTATTACAGATTCTCCTTGACACATGACTGATTTAAGTTTTTAAGAGTAGGGGATTTTATGTAGAGAGATAATGGTTACTACATAAAACTATTTAATTGATCTGAAATTCATATAACATACATAACCATTTAAATGTTAACAATTTAGTTGTGCAAACCACCACTTCTTCTTGGTTCCAAAACATTTTCTTTATCCCAGATGAAAATCGAATATTCATTAAACAGTTACTCCCATTCCTCTCTTTCCCAGTCGCTAGCCACCACCAATCTGCTTTCTATCTCTTTGGATTTATCTGTTCTGGATATTGCATATAACTGGATATTGCATATTGCATACAATATGTGGATCTTTTGTTTCTGGCTCTTTTCCTGTGGCACAACCACATTATAATATGTATCAGTACGTCATTCCTTTTTATTGCTGAATAATATTTCATTTTATATATATACTATATTTTTTATTCATTGATGGACATTTGAGTTGTTTACATCCTTTAGCTATTGTTAATGGTGCTGATACAAACATGTATGTATGAATATTAGAGTACCTCTTTTCAATTCTTTTAGTTATACTCTAATCCTAATTTGTTTTAACTTCTTCTTGAATACATATCCTTTTGTAATACTTAAGCAATCCTAGAAATGCATTTTCTGTAGGACGTTTCAAGAGAGCCTGAAAAACACAGGTAAATGGAACCCTGTGGAGAAATTGGGTTGTAACAAAAAATTTGGGACTTTGTTTTCTCTTCGCATGATGTTTTATGTTTTGGCTCTATTATTTTTATAGCAATAGTTATTCATGTGTAGTTAACTTAATTAGTGACTCAAGGTCAGAAATCTTTCAGAATCAATCCTGGATGAAAACAGCCATTTAAAAAAGTATTTCAAATTTTAAAATAAGTTGAAAGCTATGTGCTATTTGTATTTTTTGCCATTTGTAAGGAATTTTACTTACATAATTAATTACATTTTATGGCATAAATATTTTGTCATATAATTAGGCGACAGTATCTGTTCTTTGAGGACCTTTCTCTTTGTGTTGAGTATTTTTCTTTACTTAAATTCTAAACATTTTATGGAAAGAGATTCAGTGTACATGTGGGGTAGGTAGATTGACCAGATGTATTGTTAGAAAAATAAGGTTTACATTCCTTACATTTATACATCTCCAGAGAGTATTCTTTTGAGCTTCATTTGCCTTCCTATTCTTCCTTCCCTAGTAAGCATACCCCATACCAGGTTCCATTGTAGGTTTTGGGCATATCATGCACAAAAAATTGTCATCTCTGCCCTGTGTATCATCTAGTCCAAGGGAAAAGATAGGGATCAAATAACTGTGAACAAATTCCTAAGATTATATTTTTGCTGAAGGGTGCAAAGTGCCAATCAATTAAGGTTTGTCATTTGTAAAAGAACATGTAGTTGAAGAGCAATACTTGGATTTCTGAGTCAAAATATACTATTTTCTCTCAGCTTTATTGCACACAGCTCTCTTCATTGTTTCCCTAAAGCTACCAGAAGAGAGGAGATGATAGACTGTTTGACAGATTGCTATACTTAGCATTCTCTTTTGAAAGCAGGGAATTTCAGAAGGCATTTTCCTCCTGATAACACCTATTAAAATTTTTATTGTGTTGGAATTTCACCCCATTACTCTGTGTAGTATTCCTTATTTTCAAAGCACCAACGTTAGGGTGATGGTCATTTTTCTTCATGTTCTCTTTGTATTTCACATGTCAAAACAAAATGGGCATTGTTGTTGGTTAGTTCTAAAAAGGATGTATTTACAGTTTGTGTGGATAAACAGTCTGATGCTGGTCAAAAACAATGTAAACTTTGAACAGGGAGGGATTCATCTTGAAAATGAATCATGCTTGGTGCTATTACCGTTGTTTGTGCTCTTTTTAGCAAACTAAAGGAAACTGTTAAATAACAGTTGATATAGGGATATTTCCTTTTTACTCTCTGGAGTCAGTCCAGTGTGGGTTAGGATTATTTTATCTACTTGCCATTATTTTACATAACAGAGGACGTTTATTTACTTGAAACATACTCTCTCTAAATATGTCCTTCATTTTCTTTCTTATTTCTTTGACCTTAGTCTGTGTGAGTGTTTCTTAAGATCCATGGACATGGATATGAAAGAAATGACATTATGTTTACTATCCTCTAACCAAAAATGTTTCCTTTCATTGTGAATATAGACAACACAAGATAGTAATATTAGTAGTACTTGCGACATTGTCACCAATAAAAATGCAGATGTTTTATATCACAATATACATGAACTGGATATCTTGAAACATTTTGAGTTACTGATATTTTGAAATATTGTTTATACTTATAGCTTTGAAATTACTATATATTATGTAATACTATTACTGATTTTAGTATTTATTACTTGTATAGCAAAATTCAATTTTTAACTGTATTGATAACTATACTTCAGTATAATTGGTTTACTTTAATTTATGTATTTTATTTAATACATACATACATATACATACATATATATGTATGTGTGTGTATATATGTATACACACACATATACATATACATATACATACATACATATACATATACATACATACATATATGTATACACACACACACACACACACACACACATATATATATATACACACACACGCACACACACAGAGTGGTCAGATTATTATGACCACCTGACGTTTGTAGGCAAATTAGCTATAATTTCGCGCTGAAGTTGCTAGAGGGCCAGACCATTATAAACGTTTGAATAGCACAACATACCTAAGTATTGTTGCTGATCAAGTTCATCCTATCATGTTGATGGTTGTATCCCAGTGGAGATGGCTTCTTCCAACAAGACAATGCGCCATGCCACAGTGCTCATATTGTGCAGGAGTGCTTCCAAGAACATGAGGGAGACTTTACCTTGCTTAGGTGGCCCTCACAATCACCAGATCTCAATCCAATTGAGCATTTGTGGGACAAAGTTAAAAGAGCCATCAGGCAGCTGGTTTCACAACCATCAAATCTTACGGAACTGGACAGTGCTATTCATCAGGCATGGTGTCAGATTCCTCACATCACCTTTCAACATCTCGTGGAGTCAATGCCAAGAAGAATCGCCGCAGTATTGAAGGCAAAAGGTGGCCCAACAAAGTATTGATGGGGTAGTCATAATAATCTGACCTATCATAGTGTATGTATGTATGTATGTATGTATGTATGTATAATTGATTTTTAGAGAGGAAGGAAAAGGGAGAGAGAGAGAGAAACATTAATGATGAGAGAGAATGCCCCACACTGGGCATTCATTGAGCCTGCAATCCAGGCATGTGCCCTGACTAGGAATCGAACTGTGACCTGGCTCACAGGTCCACATTCAACCACGGAAACACACTGGCTGGGACTCAATCATTTTTTCTTACCACATCTGTTTTAGTAGCCCCTACCCAGCCACTTTTACTATCCTAAGACCTTTCCTTTGTTAATCATAAAGGTTATTTTCCACTTTTCTGCCTAAAATCTTTCAGTATCTCAATATCCTTGTAGAAGGTTAGAGAGGCTCCCATCCTATTTCTAGCTGTTGTCCCACCACACCTGGATTACTGTATCCTCCCCTGAATATGCCACATGGATTAATTTCCTTGGCACCTTTCCTATTTGTATACTTATCTCTACTGGAAATAATTGTTACCCTCTTGAATGCTTATTAAAACCCTACTTCAT